ATGGAAGTGATTGAGAGATTTAGCATCATGACACGATACAAGATCAACATACAAAAATCAATTGGATTCCTCTATGCCAGCAAAAAGATTGCTGGAAAAGAAACAAGGAAATCAATATCATTTATAATAACTATCAAAAAAATTAAATACTCGGGAATAAATTTTACCAGGGACACAAAGACCTGTACAAAGAAAATACAAAAGACTACTTCATGAAACCATTTATCTACATAAAATGAAGAACTTATCATGCTCATGGATAGGAATATTAAACATTGTAAAAATGTCAGTTCTACCCAAAGCAATCTATACATTCAGTAGAATCCCAATTCAGATTCCATCAACACTCTTTAAGCATATGGAAAAACCAATCACTAATTTTCTATGGAAAAGAAAGATAGCTTGGATAAGTAAAGCACTACTGAAGAACAACAACAAAGTAGATGGCCTCACACTCCTCGATCTCAAAACCTACTATACTGCCTGGTATTGGTACAACGACAGACACATAAACCAATGGAATAGAATTGAGAATCCAGAGATAGATGCATTGACCTATGGTCAGCTGATCTTTGACAAAGGGCCTAAATGCATTAAATGGGGAAGAGAACGTTTGTTTAATAAATGGTGCTGGCAAAACTGGATATCCATTTGCAGAAAAATGAAACAACATCCATACCTCACATCACACACAAAAACTAACTCCAGATGGATCAGAGACTTCAATGAGAAACCAAAAACTATAAAGTTTCTCAAGGAAAAAATAAAGGAAAATTTAACCAAAAAAAAAAAAAAACCCCTCACTATCATTCAGTTGTGTTGATTCAATTCATAAAGGCACCTCCTTGGGTTTCTGAGGCAATATCTCTACAGAAGTATATTGCCCAGTCTTCCTTTTGAGGAGTGGCTAGTGGGTATGAACCACCAGAAGGGCACATTTAGGTCACATTTAGGGGCCCTATTCTATGGCATAAATAGACTATCAAGCATAACCCAAAATGCACAAACAGCAGAAGAGAAACTAGATGAATGGGACCTTCTAAAAATTAAATTTGTATGTGCTTTCAAAGACTTCTCCAAAAGAGTCAAAAGAGAACCTACAGACTTGGGAAAAAATATTGGACAATGATATATCTGATAAGGGACTAATCTCTAGAATTTATAGAAAACTCCAACACCTCAACAACAAAAAGACAAAATCCAATTAAAAATGAGCAGAAGACATAAATAGACACTTCACCAAAGAGGATATTCAGGCGGCCAAAAAACATATGAAAAAATATTCATGATCATCAGCCATTAGAGAGATGCAAATCAAAACAACAATGAGATACTATCTTGCCCCAGCACTAGCAGCAAAGTTCAAAAGACAGAAAATAACAAATGTTGGCGAGGATGGGGAGAGACTGGGACTCTCATACACTGCTGGTCGAACTGTGAAATGATACGACCGCTGTGGAAAGAAGTATGGCAATTCCTTAAGAAGTTGGAATTAGAAATACCATTTAACCCAGCCATTCCATTAGTAGGTATATATCCTAAAGAAGTGAGAGCCAGGACAAGAACAGATATATGCACACCATGTTCATCGCAGCACTATTTACAACAGTAAAAAGATGGAAACAACCTAGGTTTCCATCAACAGAAAAATGGATAACCATGCTGTGGTACATACAGTGGAATACTATGCAACCCTAAAGAATACTGTAGAATCTGCAAAACAGCACATAACGTGGATGAACCTGGAGGATATTATGCTGAGTGAAATAAGTCAATCACATAAGAACAAACATTGTATTAGTCTGTTACTGTAAAAAGTTAAGGAAAGATTTATACATGGAAGGAAATTTTCTTTGTTGGTTACTAGGGTGAGAGAGAAGAGGAGGGAACACTGCTAGACAGGCAGAGACAAGTACTGATTTGGGTGAAGGGAAGGGCAATGTAACAAATGGAGTCATTGACACCATGGCACTGAGGAAGAGGAAGACATAGAAAGGGGCATGGAAGGTACAGACAACAAAATGAATCTTTTTGCACATATAGTACTGGATTGTCAGTCATGGCAAGCATTGATCTATGCATGGGTGGATAAATAGATAGGGTTGGCAAACAATGTTTCTACAAGTGTATTTGTATGTTCTGTAAGAATTTCCAGGTATATAGTAGACCTCACAAAGGACAAGGTTGTAGTCACTTCTCAGCCACAACCAGAGGAGGCGAGTAGTTGGACCTGTGGGCTTGGGGCTATGGTCACAGGGGACATCAAGCTCAACTGGCACAACCTACTACACAGAAACATTGCTCCACATCCTACTTTGGCAACTAGCGACTGGGATCTTAAAATCTTGCAAGCAGCCATCTAGATACAACTATGGGTCTCTCCTCGTCCAGAACAAAGAAAAATGAAGAAAGCCAAAGACACATGAAAACAATTAGTCCAAGGGACTGGTACCCCATGCGATCTTCAGCCTATACAACTATGAGATCAGAAGAACTACTTGGTGCCTGGCTACCACTTTCAACCATTCAGAGGGGGATCTATGTAGGAGATCCTAGATAGAGTGGGAGAACAATGTGGAACAAACTCAAAATCATTAAAAAAAAAAAGGGACCAGGTTTGCCAGTCTGACAGTCTGGGAGAACCCCTGAGATTATAGCCCCTAGCTGCTCTTCCAGTCTGGAACTGAACCCGCTCCTGTGGCTTCCAGCCAAACAAAAGACAGGCATATGAGCTGAACATTAACATTAGGTAGATGCACTCCTCGGAGAGATCAATCATGGGAGAACAGAAGGGCTGTGTATGCACAGGGAGACAGCTTGGGAGGCAGGAGTGCATGGGAGGGAAGGACACAGGGAAGAGGTGGCTATGGGGAAGAAGTGGGAGGAGAGCTGTTGCACTGTGGGAGATTGCAGTGAATGTCATGAGACAAAGTATATGTGAACTGCTGTATGGAAAGTGAATTTGCTCTGTAAACTTTCACCCAATCACAATAAAAATTTAAAAAAAGAAAAAAAAAAGAATCAATGGTATTGAAAGAAGAAGTCCAAGGTGCACTGAACCAATTAGTGAAAAAGAAAGCTCCAAGAATGCTTGTTTATGCTAAGAAATCTAGGAGACAGCTAGTTGGCCAAGTGACTAGAAGAGATCCATATTTTTGTCCATTCCAAAGAAAGGTGATCCAACGGAATATGGAAATTACTAAACAGTATCATTAATATCATATGCAAGTAAAATTTTGCTGAAGATAATTCAATAATGGTTGCAGCCGTATATTGACAGGAAACTTCCAGAAATTCAACCTGCATTCAGAAGAGTACCTGAAACAAGGAATATCATTGCTGATGTCAGATAGATCTTGGCTCAAATCAAAGAATACCAGGAAGATGTTTATCTGTTTTTTGACTGTGCAAAAGTACTCGGCTGCGTGAATCATAACAAATTAAGGATAACATAGTGAAGAACTGGAATTGCAGATCACTTAACTGGACTCATCAGGAATCTGTATACAGACTAAGAGGCTGTCATTCGGACACAAGAAAGGGTTATCCATGGTTTAAAATTAGGAAGGGTGTGGACCAGGATTGTATCCTTTCACTACATGTATTTAATCTGTATGCTGAGCACATAATCTGAGAAGTTGGATTTTATGAAGATGAACATGGCATCCTGCCATATGCAGATGACAAAACCTGGTGAAAATGAAGACTTGAAGCACTTACTGATAAAGATTATAGACTACAGCCTTCAGTATGGACTATACCTCTACCTAAAGAAACAAAAATCTTCCTAAGTGGGACAATAAGCAACATCACAATAAATGGAGTAAAGATGCTCCATGATTTCAATTCACTTGGATCCACAATCAACACCCACAGAAGCAGCAGTCAAGAAATTAGACACCTTACTGCACAGGGCAAATATGCTGCATGGGGACCTCTTTAAAGTGTTAAGAGCAAAGATGTTACTTTGAAGACTAAAGTGTACCTAACTAAAGCCTTGGTATTTTCATATGACTCATATACATGTGAAAGCTAGACAAGATAAGGAAGACTGAAGAAAAGGTGATGCCTTGGAATTTTGCTGTTGACTAAGAATACTGAAAATACCATGAACTGCCAAAGAATGAACAAGTCTTGGAAGAAGTACAGTCGGAATGCTCCTTGGAAGCAAGGATAGCCAGACTTCATCTCACCTACTTTGGTCATGTTGTCAGAATAGACCAATCCTTGGAGAAAAATATCATGTTTGGTAAAGCTGAGAGTCAGCGAAAAAGGGGAAGACCCTGAACTAGATGGACTGACATAGTGGGTTCAATGATGGCCTCACATATAGCGGGGATTGAGAGAATAGTGCAGGACTGTGCAGTGTTTCATTGTATTGTACTTATGGTTGCTATGAGTCAGAGCCAGGTTGACGGCACCACAATTAAGACTTTGGCTTTTCTCAATGCAAGAAGAATTTCTACAAAAAATAATTCATCAAAAAAAAAAATAATAATTACTTAAAAACTTACTTACTTATGGTCTGCCTTGTCCTTTTACAATATAAGCTCCAGAAGAGCATGTTATGTTTTTGTATTTTCACTGTGGTATCTTCAGTACCAAAACAATATACAAAATAATAGTAGTGCTCAATAATTATTTGATAAATCATTAAGTTATATCTTTTCAATACCCCTGTTAAAAAATGCCTAAAGTACTTTCCTGAGATTTTATCAAAATTCACTACTCAGGTTCTCATTAATAATCATTGTGAAAAACAGATGAATCTGATATGCTACAAAGGTTAAAGTAACACACTTTAAATATGTATTATTAGTCTCCTCTTTCACAATACACACTTTTGTGATAAAATCTTTGCCATTCTTAAGGTTGAACAGCTTCCTCCATTTTTCACATATTACTAGGTAGGGAGAAACTTCCACTACCCCCATCTCAATTGCTCTAAGTGGTTTATTTGTATACTAGACTAAAATAGGGTATCAAATTTTTATACACACTTTCAGTTGCACAGAATGATGCTTCTTCCAATGTGAACTCATCCAAAGGAATCACAATTTGACCTCCTGCTTCCCACTTCTTACGATCAGATGAAGCCGGTTTTTCCTCTTCATGCTCTTTAACATCTTCATGAGCAATTACTTCAGAAGTGTCACTGTAATGCAGCTTTCCTTTTTCATCCTCTTGTGCTTTAAGATTTTGATTTAATCTACGCAGTATTTCTCGTTTACTCTGAAACACATGTAACCTTGTATTTTAATATATAAATGGATCAAGTAAAATGACTGACAGAGAAACTTTGAAAACTATACTTACTGAAATAGCACTGTTGGTCTTTTGCACTTCTTCTGAGGTTTCCTGAGAATCATCAGTTAAATAGTCCTTTAAACATAGATAATTACATAGTAAGAAATAATGTTATTTTAAAAATCTACATTTAAAAGCTTGTCATTTTTGTTACTTATTACTTTTTATTAAATTGCTTCTTATATTTTTGTTCCTGTAAATGTTAACTTAGCTTCCTATGTCATCAGCAAAAATAAATAAATAAATAAATAAATATTACCAACTAATAGACAAATTATTTAGTAGAAAGGCCTATTCTCAATTTTTTGTCATAGCTTTGGATTACAGATCACTTATTTACTATCTCCTCTTTTTAGCAGGCAACTGATTTTTGGTTACCTTTCATCAATGGTAGGAAAAAAAGAAAAGTAATTCATATACTCTCTTAAATTGTTGTTGTTGTTGTTGTTTGCCGTCGAGTCGGCCCCGACTCATAGCGACCCCTCCTTGGGTTTCCAAGGCAGTATCACTACGGAAGTAGGATTGCCCAACCTTCCTTCCGAGGAGTGGCTGGTGGGTTTGAACCGCCATCCTTCTGGTTAGCAGTCAAGTGCTTTTAGCCACTATGCTACCAGAGCTCCCACTCTCTTAATAGAACTATAAAAAATTTTGATGGATAAGGTAATTCAAGATGGAGTACATTCTTTTGAAGCTTTCTTTATGTTTCATATAAACCAAAAAACCAACCTTACTGCAATGAGTCAATTCAGACTCACAGCAACCTCCACTGGGTTTCTATGGCAGTAAATCTCTACAGAAGTAGATAACTCCTCTTCCTTCTGCAGCGTGGCTGGTGGGTTTGAACTGCCAACCTTCTGGTTAGCAGTCAAATGCCTTTGGCACTATGTCACTAGAGCTTCACATATATATATACACATACATATATTTATGTATGTATGTATATATTCTTGTTAAGCTGGACTACTAAATACAATTGAGAACAGGCTTTTCCCTCTAAGCAAAGAAGGTAATGAGAATGGGTTCTGAGTCATTTGTACTACTGAAAATAAATGTTTTTCTGTAGATTAGTCCAATCAGAGTAACCTAGATCACCAAATTTTAAAACATGTAAGAGAAGAAACTGGCAGTTAGAAAAACAATGAAAGCACATATATCTAGAAGTCTTGGAGTCAAAGTAGAAGCAATTTGCAAAGTTTTAAGTAAAACAAAGAAAAATCATTTAGTTAAATGGAGTATCTCAAACTTAAATTTGAGAAATACACAAAAGAGTATAGCAGTCAGTTTAAAAGTAATGAATATACAAAAGACAAAGAACATTTTACCCAGGAATTAGCAGCACTACAACCAGAGAGATGAACAGCTACTTGAGATGTGAGACTGGGTATCAGGAGGGGAACCACACAATAGTATCTAAAGTCAAAGTGAACACGTAGCACATGCAAAGTCATTATCAGAAAGAAAGAGAGGCTAAACCTACTTGAAGAACAAGAGTTTCTTAAATGAAGTTCTTGAGATCGATTTTATCACTCAGTGTTATGATTCAAGATGAGCATAAAGACTGCACACAATTAGAATCTACCAATAACCTCAGTGTTGCTTCTAAAAACTTAATAATGGAACTCAACAAAAAAAAAAAGATGGACACCAATTACCATGAAGGTAGAAAATCTGGTTAATGTGTTACTTAGTTCAGTACATTTTTTCCCTTACATCTGTTGAATTCTAGGCTGAAACTTTGTATTATGAGCCCATTTCTTTTAATCCCAAAACAGAGTCTTCACATTTTAGATGGATACCTGACATATACTTCCAAGTTTAAACTTTTTAGTCATCCACATTTCTTTGCATTACTATCCATATGGCATGATAGAAATTCAGAAGCAGAAGATGAAAGAGTTAATTAATGAATTAAGTGTAATTACACCAGTTTCTCACTCCAAAATTTGCTATCTCACAAAATTTCAAATAAAGATAACATGTCTGGGACTTCCTTCAGTTAGTCACTTAAGTACCAAAGAGATACTATTTTTAAAAAAGTGAACATTTGTTAAATGTGAGGAGTGGGACATAAGAATGTTCGATTATTTTTAGTACATTTCTACTTATAATTTTATTTACCCAACAATTTTTTAAAGTAAAACAGAGAGTGACTCATATTAGTACCTTACTTATCAGATTGTCCTAGATACAGAACCTCTAGGTACAAAAACCTATACACAAAAATCTTAAGAGCTAATTATTTTCTAGGAAAAATTAATAAAACATTAGATATTAAAGTGATTTCATTAAATTTAATTTTCCTTTAACTCATGCACTGATTTTGAGGATTCTAAATTTTAGAAAACTTACCATACCCACTTCTTTCAAAGCTGAAGTCATAGAAATTACAGCTCTCATCTGTTGCTTTGATGGAGATCCACCTGTTTCATGCTGTCCTCCCAAGGGTGGAGACAGATCAGAGTTCTTTACTCCTTTAGCCACCAACTATAATAAAAAATTCAATTATATGGGAAAATTTGCATTTGTGTAAAGAAATAAAATGCCATATATAACTTTGTATCTACTCAATCCACATGTAATTTTTTGCACTGCTCAATTATTTATTTAGCAAGATGTTGTGCTGGGGACAGAGTAGTGAATAAAGAGTAATACTTCTGGCCTCAGATATAAACATAACATGTGTCATATAATCCTAAATCACTCCCTTCTCCTGCGTTATTAATGTTTCATAAAATGATTCTGAGAAACAGGTGTCTTCTAAAAAATTTAGCATTAGTCCTCTCACTTTAATTTCAATTGATTACAAAATTTTAATAGTAAGAAAAAAAATTATTAATTTTACACCTCAGAAAGAAATTCTTATGCAATTTCTCCAAGTGTTGGCCTCTTCTCCTTGAAGTTTCAACATCAATTTCCCAACGTAAGACCCCTCATTATAAAAACGTCAACATAAATGAAAATAAAAGGAGTGACAGGTACAGGAAATAGAAAAATATACTTCATTAAAAATATCATGTATTATCTTCATATATGTTTTGTTCTTATCTTGCTATTTGGACTCTCAATAATATGAAGATTGTGAACCTTTAAAGAATTAGCACTTAAAGGAATGCTAACTGTAACATGGTAGAAATTTCACTCCCTACTTCTACCTGTTCCTTAAATGAGTAAACAAAAACTTCCAGTGAGTATGCATTTCACATGAGGAACCCTGGTAGGTGGTTAAAGTACTTGCTGCTAACCAAAAAGTCAGCAGTTTGAAGCCACCAGCTGCTCCACAGGAGAAAGTTAAGGCAGTCTGCTTCCATAAAGATTTACAGCTTTGGAAATCCTACGTTGTTGTTGTTGTTGTTAAGTGCCGTCGAGTCGTTTCCGACTCATAGCGACCCCATGCACAGCAGAACAAAACACTGCCCGATCCCGTGCCAGCCCCACAATCCCTGCTATACTTGAGCCCATCATTGCAGCCATCGTATCAATCCATCTCGTTGAAGGCCTCCCCCTCTTTCGTCG